TATTCTGAGCCAAAAGAGGCTTTAAAAAAAACTACTTATGTCTGAAAAGAGTTTTATTTTAAAGCTTTCAAACCAGCTCTTTTTAGTTAGACAAGAAGGCAAGGGAGAGAGATTTTAATGCAATAATTATAAAGATCAAGTCATAGTCACCATTGCTCTGTCACTACAAGATATTTTAATTTTGAGTTGTGTTTTTTTAAAGAATCTGTAAAAGCCTACAATTCTTTATGAAACTGAAGAGTTTGAAACAGCTAAAGAGGAATAAGAAAGAACAACTTTCTTCCCTCTCTCACATGCCAGTCTACTTAACAGGGAGGTTCATGAAAAATGTTTTTCTAGATAAGGAATCCCTTACCCCATGCCAGTTCTTCTTAAATAAAGAGGCAAGTGTTAGCAAGATATTTTCAAAGTGCTAGCTGGGGGAAAAAATACACTCCTACATACGTTCACATGAAAAACATGAAAGAAACTGCTGGAAATATACAGACTATTTTTTCATTGTGTTAAAAGGTCAGATCATGGTTATTATTGTACTGTAGTGTGGGAAGAACTGGTTGATTTATTGTTTTAACATATTTCGTGTGGTTAGTCACAGAACTTGATTATCTTTTTCATCAAATCAATGATCATATGGGAGAAACAGCAGGAACTGGAAGGAGAAATTAAAACAACAGATACTATTAGTGCAGTAGGGGTTTCCTTAAAGCACCAAATTACATATAAGTAAGAATCACCCAACTTTACCATGGTAGTATATTTATTACTTCTGAAAATTGCTTAAGTTATTTAGATAGTCATCTGTAAGGACCCACTGATGTTCTACTAAAGCTAATGATACTGGAATAAATAAAATACTACCAAATGTCTCCATTCTGATTTGGAAATACCACAGGCTAGATTCACAAAAGGATGTAGGTGCCTAAATGTCACTTTAGGCACCTAAATCCCAGAATCAGGTCGCGGTGAGATTCACAAAATCCCCATTCAGCTACCGCCGAGCCCTGGTACCTAAACTCACTTGGTGCCTACATTTTTGAAGTAGAAGTTCCCTAAGTTTCTGCCTCTGAGCATGTGGACTGTAGCCCTCATACTTGGAGGTTGGCTGCCTAAGCTCCAGTGATTCACACGCTGGGTGAAAATAGGCGCTCCTCAGGATAACTCATCTACAGGGCCTGATCTGGTAGGTATGCTCAGACTTTACCTAGTGGATAGGGTCCCTACAGGCAGGAGCCTGGAGTTAGTTCTCCAAGAGGGGCAGGGTTTAGCACACATCCCTCAGCTTAGCACATCCTACGGGCTATTTTAGGGAGGAAGTTGCCTATCATGCTGGCTTTTGTGAATCCCATTCTAATGTGCCCATCTCTCCCTACTCATTGTATGGGGAGCCTGAGTGCCTAACCCAGGCTTTGTAAATCTCAGTGATTTTCTAGGCACCTAAAAGTTTGGCATGATAATGCTCAGTGTCGCAGTGCCTAGGTTCCTTTGTGAATCTAGCCCATTTCTCTTTTTGTGAAATATCAAGTGAACAAAATCTATATTTTATTCATGTGTGCTCACCTCTTCAGAGCACAGGCAGTCAATTCCTCCAAATTACATGTGCTGTTTATTGTGGCATAAATTCCTAAATAGTGGATGAAAGATTGACATCCAGTTGTGAAAAGCTTAGCAAAGCTTTTTAATGGCTTGGCCAAAGGTAGCCTCTATTTTGATCAATGTCTGAAATGTAATGAGCTCATCTGGACAGAAAATGTATTCTCAGCATTTTCTTTGCAAAGTCTTTTTTTTTTTTAAGCTACGACCCTCATAGGGCTCACATCACTTTTGGCAGTAGTATTTAATACAAAACACTACTGAGATGAATAAAAATATGCCAAAACAATGTCTGTGGAAGAATTCTTACATACCAGTCATTTGATGCAGATCAATTACTAAACTGAAACTCAAAAGAGCTAACACAGTAGCAATCTGTTAAATGTTTAACCTAGTTAAATGGAAATAACATCCTAGATTTATTTCAAAATAAGGATTCTTATAAAAAAATTACATCCCATTATTAATATGAGAATGTAAAGTACAAGAAGGCTGTTCTTTTTTAGTGTATATATACTCTAGCTTGTACGCATGTGTGTGTGTATATATATATATATATATATATATATAATAACACACAT